TATAAACCATACGGCTACGATTTCTGAGTCCCCGGCTGGTAGTGGTTAAAGCCAGTGGTGGGATTGGAACCCACCGTTATTAGGTTAAAGCCAGTGGTGGGATTGGAACCCACCGTTATTAGGTTAAAGCCAGTGGTGGGATTGGAACCCACCGTTATTAAGTTCCATCAATGACCATCTTTCACTTGGACTACGTAATTGAGGGTATCTTGTCATTTTCATAAAGGCAAGGAGATAACCTGTAGTGTGAAGCTTCCGGCGATGGATTTGAAGAAGATGTGTATTCAGCTCAGGAAGATACATTCCGACACCTTTCCACCATCCGGAAAAAGGAGCAAGCTCAGTACGCCAGAGGTACCTCCCAGGAACACCAGAAGACGCAGCCTCGACAATCAGCGTCAGACATCCCCAGACGGAACCCCCAATGCTTCCCCAACGGCAGCACATGGCAAGAGGCGGTCCTCACGAAGCCCACCCTCTAGAGTCCCAAAGCCGATAGGGAAGGACTTGGTGCCTGACTCGGCATACCACCTGCTGCAACGCCTTCTGGACTTGAATCCCAGCACCAGAATAACTGCCGAGGAAGCACTGAGACATCAATTTATACAAGAATGCTAAGAAGGGGGCTTTGAAATCCAAATGATCCATTCCGCAATAAAAAAATTCAAATGACCCCGGCACTGTCATTTCTGCAGACAATCCCATCAATTTAACTTAATAGAAATCTAATAGCTACGGTGCTTTTTCGCCGGGAATAAATGATGGGATTATTTTCACGCGCAGAATAATTTAGAAGGGACTTTTAACAGCACATTTTATATCAGTATAATGTTAATAAAGAATTTGATCATTTTGAAGAATACAGTGTAATGCAGCCTTGTCTTGAGTCTTTTCTTCAAGTTTCCTATAAAAAATAAGATTTGCATAACACGTCTTGTCTGAATATTATCTCACATGTTGTGACATCTTCAAAACGCAAATGAAAAAGTAACACGAGTAATCAGTTTAGATGCAAAACACAAAAACCATGCCAAAAAGTGAACACAGGAGGCGGAGATCCAATTACAAGAAGCTGAGGTGTACAGAGGCTGTGGGTTGATACAAATTTGAAAATTTGCCATCCACTTTCCAAAGAATAACAATCCACGTGTTACAGAGCTCTTGTTCATACACAAGATGAATCATAAATGTACGATACTTCACCTTTTAGTAGTTAAATCTGTTTATTTGAATACTTGCCAATTATCACATTTCAATACAAAAGTTAAACTACAAATAGAACTCAGTGCGTTTTGTTATTCAATAGATGAGACCAACATTTCACTGATCAATTGAAACAAGTTCCACATTATTTTTGCACCTAAACTATCTCCCTGAAAACGTGTACAAATGTCGACACACAGCACAGTCACATCTACTTAACAATACCAAACACACGTGTCTTTTCCTAGGCTAGGCTAGAGTTTACTGAGACCCTTCACCTGTGCTTGCAAAAATGCAACGTGTGACAAGACAAGCCTAGCCCCAGTGTTGCTGTAACTACGGTATACGGTCTGGTTCCCAACCTCACAACGAGCAACAAGAAAGGGAATGAATCAGCTTTTTTACAAAACCAAGCTAACGTGAAGACTAAAATGATTCACTAATGTAGACAAATCCGACGACCAAAATTAGAAGCCATTGCTACGGGGCCATCCTGTTCGAATGCAGGCGGTGCGTGCTCATGAAATTCCTTCTTGACCAATAGGCAGTAGTCAATTGCCAAAGTGTGCACGTGCGATCAGGTTGGGAGAGCTGCTTGAGTGTAAATGGCCCCCCGGAATGGCATCTCATCCGATTTGTCTATACTAATTAGCTTTAAAAAAGAGTGAAACCGTTTTAAAATACAGAAGGGACAAGCATAGTGATAACACATAACTTGTGTATAGCTTTAGTTGAAAATGAATGCACAGCTTTGTACTTTCATTGTGTCCCTGAAATTTTGTGAATACAGTGAAGTTGCCAAAATAGCAGAAAGTCCCAAAGAGTTGTTTACTGTTAAACACACTTAATCTTGCGTCAGTTTATCTAGACTTTATTCACACAAGTGCAAAAAAACCTGGAAGGTGTACTGTATAAGGATAAAAATTGGTTGTTACTATTGAAAAATACTCTTGCGCAGAGGGGGCAGTGATGGTCAATGTCTGGCCTGAAAAATTATTACAAATTACACCATTTGTATGCTTTCATTATTTATGGTCTTTTTTTTGGGGGGGTGGGTTCTATTCCTTACCAACATGCCAATATCGGGGAGTTTGGTTTTTTTTTCCAATTTCAGGATTTTTCAAACAACCTATTTAAAAAATCCAGAAATCCTGAGCTTACCTTTATGATATTTTAATGCGTAACGGTTATTATAGAACACGAGAAATTGGCCATTTTAAGGGGTGTCTTTGAGCAATCAGACTCTTCACTACTGTGAGGGCATGATCAAACCCTTGGGTGATTATTTCATGAACGTTTCATTTTCTTCCAATTTTACCCCTGTCATGTATGCCAAATGGCACTTGGGTTAGCTGGATTAATGTAAGACATGTAATAACAGTTGTAATTTGGCGATGCATGAAAAATATGCCAAGTCATCAAGTGACAATGCATGTGCATATTATCTGTGGCATTTCAAGAGGACTGATATCTTAAGAGGTCTTGGGACTACTGATTTTGAAAGATCTGAACTTTGGACTATTGCAATCACACAGAAAAGTCACAGATTCTCTCGGCACTAGATTAGAAAAAAGTGGACAACCGATGTCTTTGAGCCTATGGTGTAATCAGGCTCATTTTTTGGGGGGAGGGGGCAACTGCCCCCTTGGCTATGCAGCCACGCTCCTCGGAGGTGGGTGGGGGGGAGTTCCATGGGCTAAACCACTGTTTTGGGTTTTTCCCTCATATTATATGCTGGCATTGTCATGATAAGGTTTTAATTATGTAATGGCTCAATCTACTAGACCAGCTCACCTGCAATTCTGAAAAAGGGGAACAAAGTTGAGTAGGGTCCATGTCTTAAAAATAGGCACAATATTTGACTGTATAAATTGCCAGTTGATTTGAATTTGGGATTTACTAACAGATATTTAGTATCTTCACGACCAGAGCAAACTTATAACCATACCAAACAGAAAATAATACTGAACTTTAACCACTTCATGCCAGGGCATTTTTCAATGTTGATGATGCTGGGCCGGCATAATTATCATTTTTTCTGTTTTCAAAATTCTTCAAAAATTCATCATTTCATTTAACAGACGCTTATAGCCAAACATAGTAATCTTTAGGCACTACTCTAAGTTGACAGGTGACCTTCATGGACGCCTGAGTATTTCAGCCTTGTAAACAGAGCCTAGATTGTGCGGTGTTAATGTAACTTTCTTTTGTTCACGAACCTGGCTCAGTGCACTGCTGACCTCTTTGGCCAGATTAGCATGCAGCGGTGCTGTGTGGCTCATCGCTGCGGTGGTGGAGCGCTTTTGTCCCCGGTGGTAATCCACTCGTGCTAAATGCCCCAAAACCTGGTATACGGTTTCAAAACAAGGCTGGATTATCACCATTTTTGAGAGTGAAAAATGCCGGTAATGCCCAGCAGCCTGGTCTTTTGTTGGGAGTACGGTCTTTTGTTACAGGGCCCTGTTTCCTTTGTACGAGTTCGGAGACCCCGTTCACACATATAGAGCATACGTCTCCGATTCCGGTGTCCCCGGCAGGAAGTGGTTAATGCTGAAGCTGACCATAATCACTGAAAGTTATGCCAACATTTTGGGACAAGAAAACATGGTACTGATGTAACTCACAATTTGTTACTGACAATACAATGTACAAGCATTGTTTGAAAGGGGCAGGCTTCTTTCTATCCTCTCTTAAGTAAAACAGCATCTGTTTGTCTGAATACCACATACTACCTGATAAAAATTCCCTCCAGTCGTATTAACAACACAGGTAATCACCTATGGTCTTTTCTTGACACACCCAACGGACACACAAAACAGATACAACTTGTTGACACTCTGATTTATACACCGTGTCCTACACTGTCTCCAAGACAGCTCATCTAGACGTGAAAGGTTTCAGGTTCTCCAATAGTTTGATCTCAAATACATGCAGTTTGGAACAGGAATGAATCTTGAAGGGATCATGTTGCAGGAGATTTTCAAAGATGGTAGACACTTAGCAATAGTCAGTTAAGTTAGTAACATTGTTCCCTACTTACTAGTTTATTTACTTGTCCTTAACTGAGGTTTTACGTGTCTACAAGTGCAAAATATATATACATCTCCTTGAAAAAAGAAAACAATTAATATGCAGAACTGGATTAAAATTCAATCAGCATTTTTAAAGATTTGATCAGGCCTCACAGTCATCGGATCTCTTGTCTTCCAACCCTTCAGTGCAAGGTCAAGGGTCAAAGGTCAGCCTATAAGATGCAAAATTCCCAACAGAAACCACACAGAAAATCCAACAAGTTCAGCTTCATATCATTGAATTCACACAACACATACTTTTTTCAGTAGAACATGATTTGATTTCCTTTGTTCAGTTTTACTCTAATATTCAAATGAAGATATCAAAGAACCAAGTGCTCCATGTTTACTAACGACACCTGAGAATTTCATCTGGTGGTATTCATGGTATGTTTATGTTTCCTATCCTCTTTTTGAAATTAATATATCATTAGTTTGTTACTCCTTCACACTGTCTAGCCTAGGTACTCCTTTAAGCTTGGCTAAAGTCCACCCAATAGTAGAACAGTTTTTGTACGTTACGTGGCTAAGACTTGTGTTTTCTCTTCGGTTGGGGACATAAATGCCACGACCAACAAGTACATCAATTACTGTCGTTTATCATTTTGTGTCTTAAAAAACAGAAGTATGCAACGCTTTAAGCATTGCCCTAAATAAAACATGCAAGTTAAAAAAAATCTGAGTAAAAACTACAAACTTTACAGAAATTAGAATTTGTCATTTGTCATGCTTTTGTACAGGTGCGTCCAACAAAACTGAGGGTTACATTGCTCAGAATGGTATGGACTGTCAGCATGCATTTTTAATCTGAAGATTACGGATAGGCCATTTCCACATTTACAGATAAAAAAACATGCGTTGCTATGGCAATGGAACGCTGGTAATAATATCGTGGTTACTTACGCATCTGGCTCGTGAAATTACGATTAAACACAAAAATACGAAGGTGGTACAGGCTTCTATGTATAATCTGGCTATTACTCCATTATATACAGTTTTATTGTACATAAGTCCTCACTTTTAAACAGGCATTTGTCCAATCTCCACCGACAAGTTTGGACAATATTTCAATTTTCTACTTGCAGCAGCAGGAACAATTTACATTTGCAGCAACAGGGGAAGAGTAATACATCTTTGGGCTCAGTGCCAAACTAGTTCAACTTACATGCAGTGAATAAGTCAATATGCAAACAAATCCAACGGACAAGGTCTCCAACAAGAGCCTGTCCTTGCCCCGATTTGCTTCCTTTTAAATCTACTAATACTAAATACGAGCTACATTTTCTTTACATGATCACTTCTTCCTAGTTTTTCCCAGATTCAGTAATGCTGAAATAGTATTCAACTTCAAGAGGTTTTAATCAACTTGTGCTTTTATCCATCACGATCAACTTGTATGCCATCAAATCCTGCGAGGAGCTGAAACTGTGCTTACTTTTTGTACCTAAGGTCTTTTTTTACGAGAAGTCTTTTTGCGCTCATCAAAAGATGTTTAACCACAATGTCAGTCCAAACAAAAATGCATGTTCCCTGGGGTTTAAAATTGCATACGGTCTCTGTAAAGCTTATGTCACACCATAAACATGTGCGCAATACAAACACTGGAATATTTGCATTGAATTGTTCCGCACAATCACACCCAAAAATGCACACACGCTGCCAGACACTTGATCGTTGCTTCTTTTGCCAAGCCACGTCACTTTCGATTTGCCACAAACAATTTGAAGATGCCTGTTGTCTTGAAGCATGTAGCTTATTTGAATGCAGCTAGCATGATAAAAACACCATACTATATTAGCAACATGATAACAGGTAGACAATCTTGGTCAAATCTAACAGTACAGAGAAAAAACTTTGTCGCAAGACTTTGGACGTATTTCTGCTTCCGAAAGACCCACCACCAAACTTGTCTTCATAATATACTTCAGAACACAAACCAGAGTCAACATTCCACTCCCTAATGTACCATATTATGGTCGAGTGCATGCATGAAATGTGGTACCACCAATGCCAAATGTAAACCACACCAATGACACATGTTCCTGCTTTTGCCGCATTTTTCTCAAACTTCTCAAACAATTTTTTCACACAGCTGTTTTTTTTCTGTTTCTTCTCCCCCTTTGCCAAATATATTTTAGCAAGTACACTGACGGCATAAATTGCATGAAAATGAGGTCACAGAGGTTAAAACTCTCACAGACAGATACATTTTCTTAATACACTGATTATATTTCAATTTGTTGGGTTTCATAGATGACTACAAGTTTTGTTTTTAATATGGTGAGGTAGATTTTTGTCCATCCCTGTGTGGTTCAATCTTTTTCGTTGTACCTGAAGAGATTGTGTTTTCTTTATACCAACTGGTTTTAAACAGTGCTGCTTGACAATACAACATTTTGCTCCATTGTACATGCTTTTTTTGACCGACACATGTATAAAATCTCAGCAGGCAGGTAGTTTTCAACATTTTCACGCGTGCATCGCCGTTCGAAAAAAGTTTAAAGTTTTCTTAATCAGTCAGATCTTTGTTACAATTTCTTTAAAAGTTGCTGTGGGAAGTGATAAGCTCGGTTAGGGGCTCAGAGAGCCTGACAAACAGGGAGAGAATAAAAGTGCTTGTGTAGTTCAGAAAACAATCTAGACTTGGGGTTTTCTCTGAAGTTGGTCTTGGGGTAAGCGCAACTCGTTTTTTTTTTCTGAATTTTTTTCCTTGATATTTTTCCCAACAATACATGAATCTCTTCCTGCCCGGTTGCTCCTACAGTCAAACTAAATTCTTCTTCACTTTTGTAATTGAAAATATACTTAAAAATTCCTAGAACTCGTAACATCTATTCATCATGGGGGGTTCTTTACAAACTCAGCTGCCATTTGTATTTCGTCTTTTTAGCTAAGAAAAAAATCAAGGAATTTCTCCTGGCTTTTTTTTTCACAAACAGAACAAAAACAACAGAAATCATACAGATCTTGAAAAAAAAATAGTGGATGTTGGGTAAGATGGAGAAAAAGCTTGAGACAAAATAAGAAAAAAAAGATTATTTTTGAATTACTTAAATACAGCTGCTAAATATGTATACATAATTTGATTCAAGGTTTTTAGTGCTTCGGGAGGTGGCTAAATTACAAAGATAATTTCTGATCAAAACAGATATTTTGTGCTTCTTTGAAATTGTGCCATAACACTTGAAGGTGCCACATTAAGTGCCTTGAAGAGAACGAAGCATCCTGAGTCAAAATAATACTGCCACCAAGTATTGACCTCTCTGAGGTGTGGTGGACATGTTGGATCTTGTTCCTCACAGTATTACAGATACAAACCAATGAGACTGCACACAAGTACCAGTCTAAAAATTCCACAGACAGCCATGATGTTTTAATAATGAAAACCAACACTACTACCTAGATTGTGCTGACCACCTTAAGTTTGCGTTATATTTCTATATACAAAAAAAGCAATGATGCATACACTACTTCCTAACAGCATTATTTTCAGGGTTCCCATGGAAGAAAGAAAACAAAACCAAAAATCATGATCTTTTTTATTTCAAATCAATTCAATCAAATTTTTTGATTTCCCCCAATTTTTTTTTTCTACATGACCTTTTGATCATGATTAGGAGCAGGTACAGCAGGCATGTGGAAGCTGCAATCTTAGTCTCTGTGTTGTAGTCAAGACCTCTCAAGACCCCACATGACCAACACAAAACCTCAAGTCTGAATTCAAGCCACAAGCTATTCAAATGAACTGCAACAAAGGCAGTCCTTTATCATGCTTCCCCTTGTTACTTGTGACTTGTCTTGGGAACGGTCTTGAGCATGGTCTCGTGTCTGGTCTTGCAAATGGCCTTGTGATGGTCTTGACTACAGCGCTACTTAGCATACGGTCCACGGAAATATTCTAGGACTCTAGTTCCATCACTTTCGATGACAGGACAAATCCATACCACAGGAACCCTGCCAAATGTCAGGAGGTAGAAAATATCAACTTCAAATGTCGACTACATGTGAACCCGCTAAGAAATGTAGATGCCTGCGGCGAGGGACTTTCAGAGGGCACTGATGGTTTCAAGATGGGGGGAATACCAAGAAAAATAACCACAGGCTGTTTTTGTCTGCTTGGTCTATAATATGACGACAGAATCAGGCATGCTGCCGATAGGTGTCAATTTACAGCTTCCAAGGGGGTGGTGACACTTGTATCTAACGTTCACCTCCCTCTCCCCACTCAGACCACACCCCCACCCCTCCTTTGTTTCATACGTTCTCTGGTGTGGTCTCCACGTGTCGCATACCCTGTAGCGGGATGCCGTTGGGGTTCAGCCTGCTGGGCATGAAGCCGCTGGGGACATGACCATTGGGGATGGCGCCGTTTGGCACGGCACCATTGGGGATTGCCCCATTGGGCACGTGGCCATTCAGTAGCTGACCGTTGGCTGAAGGGGAGCTGGCAGTGCTGGCCGTGCAGGGGGAGGCTGAAGGAGGTGGACCAGTGTGCGGACCTAATGACAAGAAAATCAGCTTACCATAATCACTGTTCAAACTTCACTTTGTCGGCCATCTATAACTTTCAAGTTTTCGATTACAAAGCTTACACTTGACAGTGGAACTGCCTTTTTTTAGGTTTAGTCGAGTCCATCCAAGGTCTCTAAACAAGTCCAGTCACCAGTTCTTTCATAGGACTAGTCATAAGTCACACTGTGAACAGTGACAAAGGAATGCTTAGGTCACACCTCATCTGAGTGTCTTGGGGCTAGGCTTAAAGACTGGATGATTTGTGGATGGACTCCTCAGCAACACTGCTGCCAGCAATATTGGCTTACTTAAAGATGGAGATCTAGACTGATAACTGCGAGGGCATTGGTTCAAATCCCTGCTGGGCAAGTTTGGACAGATTTTGCCTTACGGGGTAATGATCATGGTGAGAACAAATCCCGGCTGTCCAAGAAATGATCCCATGATGATCCCATGACGCAATTTCTCGTTCACTGAATAAATCCCTCAACTTCTTGCCACAGCCAGTGTGCATTTTTCAACAGCCTTACCAGTGTGTATGTGTATGAACCACAGAGCTCCCATCAACACCATCCCCATGACAAAGGAGGCGATGGCTATGGCTGCAGCTGGGCCTGTGCCTAGTCCTTCACCTGGAGACAGGGAACAAGACCCCACATGCATCACAGTTAACATCAGCAAACGGTAGGGTGTCTTGCGTGGTTTACCAGTATTCAGGACAGGTACTGGACTACTAGAAGTAGTCAGGAATTTTCAAGTCTCATTTTTTTTCTGTCACTGACTTTTAGCTTCAGATTAGAGCTGAGTCCCCTCAGTTAAAATCCACAAAACTCACAGCAACTCTGAAACTTCGGCAACATCAAAATCCAATCTCTACTCTCTCTGGTATTCCTCTTTTAACAGACTGCCATCAATGGCCTGTTTTCTTTCTGTTCATGAAGTGTGCACTTATGTTGTTTTTTAAATAGTTTAATGTTTCAGAAATCAAGCACATCTACCTTCACAATCTTTGTTTTCATCATCCTTGGCCACTTCAGGTTCTGAAAGTAACATGTTCACACATATTAAGAATTTGACAAAGACATATGAAGGTGGATTAAAAATGAAATAGATACAGAAATGCAATTCAACGTTTATGTGCACTTTGGACGGAAAACGTCTCTGTTAAACAGGGAGTAACATGAAAAATGCTAGTAAGTATACAATAAGTTGTTACAGGCTTATCTCAAAAATAAGCCCAGGTAAATGATTTTTCCTTCCCCTGGATAAACAATCAAATAAGAGATCTTGAGGTCCTTTATCCCCCCCCCCGGAGATGCCAAGTGCCCCACCAAAGGGAGTAATATGATTATGGATGAGGCCTTCAAATTATGGATCAGAATTATCTTATGGGGGAAGCAAGGGTGACGGTGAAAGAAAACTGGTATCAGACTGGTGACAGTTCGAATCAGTAATCGCTATTAACTCTGGTTGGATGAGCAACTACCACCCTGTTTGAATGAAAAAGGATGAGATGGAAATTAAACCAAGTCTCTGGGTTCCTTCAGTTCTACCCTACCTCAGCCTAAAGTCTTGAACAGTGTTGCTCTAGTCAAACGAGGCTGGAGGCCATATTTGTCTTTTCAAGAGGTATTTCAAGTGTACTTGTAGCTTACCTGGTTTTAAATTTGCTCTACTGTAGAGGAAATCAACTATGTTGGATCTAAAGTTGTACGGTCCAAGGTACAAATTCTGAGTGGGAAAGTTGGGTACTTGACCGGTCACCTTGTTGATGTCAAGGCAACCCGTTTGTGGATTCATGATATGATCACACTGTATCACAGAAACAAAGGAGAGAAAACAAGGTAGGGCACAGGTGCAACACTTAATTAACTCACTCCAATGTCCATAATCCAAGAGTTGAAAGCGAGAAAGGCGATATGCTTTCGGTGCAAGTGTGAGACACTCAACAACTGAAAGCTCAACTTTGAAAAAAAAAAAAGGCCAGATATATTGGCTGACTTTTCAAATACAGAAACGCTCCATGTGTAGTGATTGTGAACGTCACATGTTGCATATTTATTAACCTGCTGTAATAAACCAAACCAAGCACGTCCATTGAGAGCAGTTACGAAGCCACTGCCCGTCATGTATAGTCCTGGTGTCATTTAAACCAGTACTGTCTGGGCAAGACTCATCAACCTGGGCTCTGCCTTGCTGGCTGAGAGTCATTTGTAGAACATGTGTACAATATTCTCACTGCGATCTCACAACTTACAACACACTATATTTCACGGCTCAGTGAACATTCAGGGTTTAAACCTGTAAGCCTCACCTATGAACACATAAGGATGCTAAAATCAACCATCCCCACTCTTGATAAACCATATATTTGTATACGGTTAAACACTGCATTCTCTAAGCTGACGACAGTTACATGTACATATGTAGGTGTGAATGGGCGTGGCTAGGGTGTGGTGTGGGTGTGGTGTGGGTGTGGCCCCCTTTTCTGCCTCCTGTCTTACCGGTGGTATTCCCCTCCTGCTACCTACTCCATCCTTGAAACACACCCCCAGTTCACAATGGATGTAGGTCCTGGCTTCCGAGTTCCATTGCAGGTAAGGCACCACAAAGCTGAATCGCCTGGACTGACTGGTGGAGGACACATCCTGGTGGAATATCAACGACTCATCTTTGGCACAACTGTAAGAACGTAAACCCACAAAATGAGATAAAACATCACCATTTCAACCTTCAGCGTTAAAAGTAAGCTACGCAGATCTCACTGTAACTTCCATTAAACTTCATAATGAAAAAACGAGCACAGGATGATGTTGATACATGTACGTGTGCCTTAATTTAGAGTAAAGAGGATATTCCACTATAGAGGCTTTACGTGGTAGCCATCTTGCAGGGCAGTTCTTTTGTTCCACAGGGTAACCTCCTTTGTGCATACCCTGTGGAACAGAAGCACTGGCCTGCAAGATGGCAGCCATGCAAACCCCCAACACTGTTTTAATACAATAATTTCATACTCCCCAGGGAGTTGCGATAAATTTGAGACCTGGAGAGCACTAAGGTAGGGCTTCATTGTTCACTTCAATCTCTTTTTAGTGTCAATTTATAGATCACATCTAAACTGGATAGTACAAATCTGACTAAATGATCGAGCATACAAAGAGACACCTGCACAACCATGTGCCAAAAAAATGAATGAGTCTATCGCTGATTACATGTTGTGTTGCAAAATAATACGATATCAGAGTTTTTATAAGGCAATGGTAACAATATATATGTCATTCAAAAGCACTAATGTAGAGTAAAATCTCAATAAGTCGAAGCTCAGGGGAATGGATGAAAAGTTTGAGTTATCCGACATTTGAGTTATCGAAGGTTACTCGCTTCAGTGCACATGCAACCTTACTGGCTTACGGCAGTTGGCCTGCAAGCTGAGTCGAACACAAAGTGGATTTTAAGCTATCCTTACTGTGCAAGATTTCCTCAAACATCATCATTGAACATGTTTTTATGTGGTACATTAATAAACAATAAACCAATGAAGTTAAATACCGGTACCTGTGTCAACGTCTTGAGAATTCATTCATTTGCTTTGCTTGATCAGGCTGTTACCGCATAACGCAGTGTGCGGGCCAGTTGGTCAGGGTTTCCGTGCTGGGTCACGTGATACATGTACAGAGCGCTTGAGGGCACATCATTCGTGCCTGAGCTGCATCCAAATCTCTTGTCTAGAGCTAGGTCTTGGTATTCACTCCATTGGAAATGCATAGAGACACCCAGACAATAGACCTAGCCGTAGCTCTGGAAGCCCGTTTCAGACACGGCCTTTATGGTTGTGGTTGATGCCCACCCAGGGCTTGTCGACGTGACAATGGCAGCCCGTGTGAACATGCTCGGCTCATCAGAGAAAAAGCCGTGCACGTGACAGTAATGACTCATAATGAAGGCAAGCGTTCTTTCATCACTTTTTATTCATCATTCTTCAGTTTTTTGTTTTAATTGGCCTACCAAAACTTTGAGATAAGCGGCTTCAGTGGTATTGACGTTTCGAGTTACGGATAGTTTATTGCACATAAAGGCCTATTCTTTTGTTGGGAATACAGAAAAACGTCGAGTTTAACGGAGTTTCGACTTAACGGGCTTCGACTTATCAAGATTTTACTGTATATCATAATTATCTCTGCTCACTGGGCTTACAGCATCTGAACACTCCTCAATCTCAGCTCCCTGGAAAGATTAGGTACTAGCCTGATGCTGCAATTACAGGCAAAAATGGCCAAGCAATAACTGTATCCATTCTCAGAAGAAGTGGGCGGAAAGACATACGTAGAGGTTAAGTGACTTGCCCAAGGTCGTAACATGTTATCACCTGCAAGGATTTGAACCGCAGACCCTGCAATTGGGAGCTACCAAACCCACATTACTAAAGCCACATATCCAACTTGAGAACATATCACCATCATCCTTAGCTCAACAATGGGCCAGCTGCATGTTACTGGTAAGGACTAGAAATTTGCATAAAACATCAGGTTGTGTACATTGCTCCTGTATGGGCCACATTTCACAACACTGCTAAGCACATGATTTTCTGCTAACAGAGGCTCCATCTATTTTAGAGACCACAGGCAGCAATTTCAGCAAAAGGCTTGCTTCCATGTAACTGGGAAGAAAACTGTGCTTAACTTGGTAACAATGGAAATCTCTTTGCACGCCAAGCACTGCCGTGATATAGTACTTATGGTTAGCAAAATTTTACGCTACAGTAAGCATGACTTTTCTGCTCACCATTAAGCAGCAGACCCTGGTCCTGAGATTTTTTTTTATAGCAAGTGAACTCACTCAACTACTGGGAACGATACTGAATTGCAGACTCTCCAAGAGACTCACTCACTCAACTACTGGGAAACGATACTGAGTTGCAGACTCTCCAAGAGACTCACTCACTCAACTACTGGGAAACGATACTGAGTTGCAGACTCTCCAAGAGACTCACTCACTCAACTACTGGGAACG